CAGAAAAAAAATCAGCAGCCAAGAATATTCTTCAAAAGAAAGAGGATACTGACGCGTTATTTAAGTTAACTGTCTTAACTCAGTATTATTTCATTGCCACCTTTTGTCCTTTTTTCTAATTTCCTTTAGCCCTGTAATAATTTAACAATTAATTTTGCTTTACTCTGTTGATGTCCATTGTTAAAATGCTTTTTTGTAGTGTTGTAAATGTAATTATCTAATGTGATTATCAATAAATATACTTTTTTTAAAAATCAGAAAATTAATTGTTGATGTATGTTTGTATTAAGCATGAAATGTACATGTTAATAAAGGTGTTTGTCTCACTGAAATTGTTAACAGCAGTAGCCTTTAGTACCACTAATTTAACATCGTTCTCAGTCCTTTTACTCTTGATTGTTCTAAGCCATAACTCAGTATGACCAGATTTTATTCTTTGTGTTGATATAACTATTCTAGGTATGCAGCACAGTGTTATTCTAGCTGCTCAACCCTATGGACTTGGTTTAGATGAGACTCTTTTGCCGCAGCATCTTCAAAAGCTGGGATATGCCACACATGCAGTTGGAAAGGTATCTGGAGTTAAACCATATTTGTTCAATTAAGGGCTGGAATATTTATTAAATTTTTAGTGTTTTCAAGGCAGAGGGCAGCATTTGTTTCAAAATCACATTATTTTCTTAAATCACTGTATTTTTTTTTTTCAGTGGCACCTTGGATTCTTTCAAACTGACTACACTCCAACAAAGAGAGGATTTGACTCTTTCTTTGGGTATTATTGCGGAAAAGAGGATTACTGGGATCACTCAAACAGGGAAGTAGATGGATGGGGACTGGACCTCCGTAATGGCACAGAGGTGAGTAAGAACAGTGGACCATGGTAGAACAATAGCAGAAAGCATACTCATTGATACAATGCATTTCGAGGACTCTTTTGAATAAATTGTGTTGATTTATTCGTTCGGGATGGGCTAGGACCTTGTCCAGATCATCATGATCACCCTCGAGTCATTCTTTTAAAAGCTTTGAGTGTGAGTAGCCAACCTAACCCAACCTCGCTCAAGTTGAGCCAAGAAGAAAGTGCATCGTAGATCATGAAAGAAACACCTATAATGTGGAAATGACCTAATGGAATGTAAACTGCAACCCTTAGAGAGATCACTTGCTGGTGAATGCAACCACACGGAATGTTTTTGGAATTTGGCTGGCAATGACCCATTCAGATCTAATACTGCTCTGAAAATTGAATGGCAAATAATTATTGTCATGGTTTTAAGACAAAAATTTTGAATGCAACAAAGGAGTTAAAGAAGTCTTGCATCTGAATGATTTCATCTTCTTTGAGTTTCTTAATGATGATAAAGAAGATGTTGTTGATGATAAGGATGATGTTGATGTTGATGATGAAGGCGAATATGACAGTGTTGACAGTGATAACTTTGTTGTATGTTTTATAGCCACTCTTTAAAACTAGAGGCAAAGTAGTTGTGACTGTGTGATCTATCCGTCGCTTTCTTCTGAACATCGTTTTTTCTTTTTCCTCATCCTTCAGCCTGTGTGGACAGAGTGGGGCCAGTACAGTACAGAGCTGTTTACAGAAAAAGCCGTGGATATTATTCAGACGCATGATCCTTCTAAGCCGCTGTTTTTGTACCTTCCGTTCCAAGCAGTTCATAGCGCAAACTATATCCAGCCACTTCAAGCACCTCCAGATGATATCAAGAAATTTTCCGCGATAGAGGATGAAAACAGAAGGATTTTTGCTGCCATGGTGTCACAACTCGATCAGGGTGTAGGGAAGGTAGGGGGAAATGATGCAGATTTCTAGTCAGGTTAAGGTACAAGTCAGGGGCACCCAACGAGAATATAGTTCAAAACCACTTAAACATAGCATTGTTGAAGGTATTTTAGTATTTAAACGGTAGATATAGGCATATTTTTATCCCCTAAAAATTTATCATCTGTTCGGATTTTCTAGCTGAAAGTCTAGTAATCCTAAAATTATGGGGATAAAAACTTACCTTTTCGAAAATTTCAGGCAGAAAAAAGGCTCCCGCAAATTCTAGGTGACCTTTTTAGGGTAAAAATCTGTTAAAAATGGACAATTATACCACTTTTAAGATGTTCGAAAATCCTAGGAGAGGCAGGCAAGTATAAACTTTTACAACAAATGTTCCGAAAATCCTAGATCTTAAATCGTCTTCTGGACAGATATTTTCATAAAATTGACGTTGGGTGCCCCTTAACAGTCACTCTTTACTACTGTATGTAAGCGTGATTTAAGAGAGAATAGCTGCATTCATAATTTTTGTCTTTGTCAGCTTGTGTTAACCTTTGGCATTTGAGGTGGCTGTGTTCTGTTCCGTTTGAATTTATAACGCAAACTCTTTTTTTTTTTAATAGTCAAATTTTCGTTACCGTCGCCGTCGTCGATGCTAAGCAGGGGCACCCAACGAGATTATAGTCCAAAACCTCTTAAACATAGCATTGTTAAACGTATTTTAGTATTTAAGAGCGAATGCACAGAAAAATCGAGCAAACCGTGGCCACAGCTCAAAACCTAACCAACCCTCATTTAAGTCTGTAATAAGGTTTTAATGAATTTATAACACTGCTGAGGTTTAAATTTCAAAATGCGACCGAATCTGGGAATTATTTGAGATTTTCGATTTCAACGGTCTGCGGGCCTAAAATTAGCCGCCGAACACGGCAATATAGCCTAGCGACAGAAAAGAGCTGACTTTCATAAACGAGCGAATATATAGACAATCTTCCCCTTAAATCTCAAAAAACAGATATTAATAATTCCGAACAGCACATTTTTTTAGATTTAGAGTATACAATATCGACGAACGAGCACAATTTTGAAACGTAATTTGCATAATGGTTATAAATACAACAATTTACCGCGAAAACCAAAATCGAATTTTCTATATGGGGGAATTCTCCAAATCACCCCAAATCCCGTCTACTACCTAATGAGATATGGTAATTCAACATTATCTGAAAGTTAGTCTGGTGTTCTCGCGAACGCTTGTAGAATAGACTGATTATTTTGAGGTTATTTTGCCCCAAACAACCGCTAATTGACCCCAGGGTCAATTGACACGTGCACGTCACCTTAGTTTTATGCGTCGATTTGAGCTCGTTAAAAGGGAGAAACTAAAAAGATTCTTTTAATATGTACCTGTTTTAATGAAATACACGCAATCTTCAAAAGGAGAGGCCGTTCATTGGGTAATTTCTGTTCTTGAGATCTTGTAGATTGTACCATGGCGTCTGCGAGTGGACCTGAGTCTAGGTCTGTTTTCCCCTGACTGCAAAATCAGAATAACATCATGAAATAATTCTCGCTCGAACCTTCGTAAATGAATCAGCTTTGCAGTGCCTTACCTGAGATAAAAAGTGGGCCGAATAGGAAAGTTTCTAGCACAATTTGGATCCTTTGCAGCACGTAGTGTATTTGCTAAGCGGGGATGGTATCAATGACTTTTTTAAAATTAGTTACTCACCTCCGATTGCGTGACCAGGCAATTATCGATTGTCTCCTGCAAAAAATAAGTGCACGGGAAACCAAAGCTTTCAGGATACAGTAAATTCATTTTCCTGTAAGACCAGGTGTCCTTTTGTCCTATTTTAAAAGCGGTTAACTAAGATGATAATAAACATACTGTGCCACTTTTAAAAATGGTACAGTAACTGAATGTTCTGTTCTTCTGATTTTACCCCCAACCCCGGAGTGTTCAGAATATATATTTGCACTACGCATGAAAGGCAAATGGATTAAATTTTAAGATTCAAGGCGGTTTTAAGGCATGGGTTACCAGTGGATTAGTCAAACTTGTCATAAGGTGCATTGAACAGAAAATTACAGGCATGACCTCTCTGCTATTGTATGTCCATTAAGTGATTTTCCAGCAAACATTGTTTTTTGACTTTTTTACCCCAAACGTTTTTTCCGTTCAATTCTTATCTGTGAGATCTAAACTTAGTTAAATTTCTGTAATTTGTTGTGAAATGCAATTCTGCAAACAACTAAGTATTTAATTTTGCGTAAAAGCTACATGAAATTGAACTGTTTAGCCGTAAACCATTAAAAAAGAGAAAGCATCATGCTTTCTCTTTTCATCTAATAGGACTTAAGCAATGGCATTGCTTAAGTCCTAGTAGTTGTTCTCCATGTCTGCTAAGGAGGAAATAGTATGCTCTTTTCAAGAAATTGTTCTTGCCCATTGCGGTTTCAAACCAAAGATAGCAGCAAGTCTGTCGTGGTCATATACTGCTACTTCTGAGTGCAAACGAAGCATAGGCGCACAAGTCAGCTAGTCAGGTGCCGAAAATGAAGTGGAAACTTAACCCCAAGGGCGTCCATGTTCGCTCCAGCTCGAAAAGGTAGAATCAGTTGTGCAGTAAAAAAAAGTAATGCGAAAAACCTGCGGGGGCTGGGGAAAGAAAGGCGTCTTATTTTTCTTTGGCTTGTTCTATTTTCGCGACGTGGTACAAGCTACGAAATACTGACAAGCTCAGTAAATGTCTTCACCACCGGGAGTCACTTACCCTTAGCCGGACACTCCCCTCACGTATCATGTTTCGTTCCTAAAGTTATTTCAAAGCACAGAACCAAACCTAATCAGCGGCCGAAGGCAGAAAGGGGGATGAGCAAACGGATGTCACAGCATATTTTGCAAGAAACTGGTATCCTTGTGCCTATCGGCTCAGGAACGATTGATTACTACTAGAATTAATATCAGGGTCAGAATTTGAGTGCTACAATGGGAGGGAAGGAAGAAAAGGAAACCGCCGCGCAGACCTGTTAAGTCTTTTATAAACTTTCTCGTCCTGACGGTTTCAAAGAAGGGCGTTGTGGCTGCTATTTAATTTACAGTGTCTGTTGCAGGTGTCGAATTAATCTTACAGTAACTGGAAATGTGGCCAAGGATGAACGACTATAGTTTGGTATATTCACGAGCGCGTTTTGTCCAGTGAACTGAGTGCGTAGTTTTTCTTAACGAAGGGACGGGGTGGGACAAGTGAATAGTTCGGGGAACGATTGCTCTCTTTAGCGGGGGGGGTATATTTGTTGATATCAGGAGTTGTGGCCTGCATAGAGTCGTTGTAAGGCTATTTTTGCTTCGGAGTATCGGTTTACCGGAAGCTGAGCAAGGAAAAGTCAATGGTGCATTTATGGAATAATAATAGAGATTCTCATGGTCTAACAGTGCGGAGATTAGACTTCTGGTAAGGTGGCAACGATCAAGGCCCGCATTATAATTCATGATAATTGAAGGCCATGATGTGGAAAAAGCGACTGAAATGGTGGATGCCATGCAATCCTCTCAGACGGGGAGGGCGTACCTGGCCTTAACGGTTGCCCCTGCGACAGAAGGTAAGCATGCCCAGATTGTCCACGGGTTGCTAAATGAGACCGTCCCTTTCTTAGTACCCGTTCCCTGTCTTATAATTAGACCCGGGCAAATTGTTCGAGATTGCACCATCATTTTGGGCTTAAAGCTTCCAAAGTCCAAAAATAATAGCGCATGTTCGCGACGGTTTTTTAAGTCAGTCAAGTTCTTAAACCAGGCCTTAAACGGCCAGTTTTAAGTGTCGATAACAGTTAAAAAGGCATACAAGCCTCATGCAAAAGACAGTGGGAAGGAAGTGCACATCGGTGATGGGGAAAAAGGATTAGCCCACAGTTATTTAGGGGTGGATCTTTCGAAACATTCTTATTCTCTTGGACAGATATGCATTGCTTAAAGTTTTAGTCAAACCAGGTGTAAATTTATAGTAACAAACTATTAAATATACATCAGCAAGATTTTTGCGAATCCTATTTTTCGCTGGAGACTATCGTTTACTGGCTGGTCACGCAATCAAAAGGTAACGTACTTTCCCACGTTTGTTTACTCACCCTTCGCTCATATCAGCAATATACTGCGTTCCACAAAGGATCCAAATTGCGCTAGAAATGTTTTGCTATTCGGCCCACTTTTTATCTCAGGTAAGGCACTGCAAAGCTGATTCACTTACGAAGATTCGAGGGAGAGTTATCTCTTGATATTATTCTGATTTCGCTGTCACGGGAAAACAGACCTAGACTCAGGTCCACTCGCAGACGCCATGCTGCAATCTACAAGATCTCAAGAACAGAAATTACCCAATGAACGGCCTCTCCTTTTGAAGATTGCGTGTATTTCATTAAAACAGGTACATATTAAAAGAATCTTTTTAGTTTCTCCCTTTTAACGAGCTCAAATCGACGCGTAAAACTAAGGTGATGTGCACGTGTCAATTGACCCTGGGGTCAATTAGCGGTTGTTTGGGGCGAAATAACCTCAAAATAATCAGTCTATTTTACAAGCGTTCGCAAGAACACCAGACTAACTTTCAGATAATGTTGAAGTACCATATCTCATTAGGTAGTAGACGGGATTTGGGGTGATTTGGAGAATTCCCCCATACAGAAAATTCGATTTTGGTTTTAGCGGTAAATTGTTGTATTTATAACCATTATGCAAATTACGTTTCAAAATTCTGCTGGTTCGTCGATACTTTATACTCTAAATCTAAAAAATGTGCCGTTCAGAAATTGTTAGATATTTGCTTTTTGAGATTTAAGTGGAAGATTACCAATATATTCGCTCGTTTATGAAAGTCAGCTCAATTCTGTCACTGGGCTATTTTCCCGAATTCGGCGGCTAATTTTAGGCCCGCTGACAGTTGAAATCGAAAATCTCAAATAATTCCCAAACTCGGGCGCATTTTGAAATTTAAACCTCAGCAGTGTTATAAACTCATTAAAACTTTATTACAGACTGAAAATGAGGGTAAGTTAGTTTTTGAGCTGTGGCCACGATTTGCCGATTTTGCTCGATTTTTCTGAGCATTCGCTCTTAAACGGTAGATAAAGGCATATTTTTATCCCTTAAAAATTTTTCATCTGTTCGGATTTCCTAGCTGAAAGTCTAGTGATCCGAAAATTATAGGGATCAAAACTTACCTTTTCGAAAATTTCAGCCAGAAAAAAGGCTCCCGAAAATTATAGGTGACCTTTTTAGGGTAAAAATCCGCTAAAAATAGGCAATTATACCATTTTTTAGATGTTCGAAAATCCTAGGAGAGGCAGGCAAGCAAGAAATTTTACAACAAATGTTCCGAAAATTCTAGATCTCAAATCGTCTTCCGAACAGATATTTCTCCGAAAATTGTCGTTGGGTGCCCCTGGCTAAGGTTCTCTATTGACAGTTTCACCACAAAACCCTAGTAGCCACTGACTCCCGGCAACCATGCTGCCTTCTATTCACCGCACTCACTTCCTTCATCTTAGGTTCTTGACGCACTAAAATCCACTGGTTTGTACAACAACTCGGTGATTGTTTTCTCAACTGATAATGGTGGCCCAGCAGCAGGGTTTGATATGAACAGCGCTTGTAACTACCCTCTGAGAGGCGTCAAGGCCACACTCTGGGAAGGTATGGAAAAACACTGACTAAAGTTGCTGTTTTAGTAACCTCAGGATTGTTAAACTTGCGAAGTGCAAAGCAAAAAAAACAATTTCCCTGTACTTTAAAAGTAAGGTACAATGGGTAAAGGCGCACACGAGCCAAAGGCACACACGGCTGGAGCTTATTTCCGGTTTCCGTAGCATGAAGTATGCATAGGAGTATTGCTGCTTCCCCCTGGGCCGGATTCTAGTCCATCGCAAGGTTATCCCCAAACAGTATGTCGCCGGTACCCAGTTAAACACCTTGATGAAGTAAAAAAGTGGAGTAAAGTTCCTTGTCTAAAGGCGAGGCTTGAACCCTGGACCTCCAGATCTAAAGTTCGAGGTGTTAGCCGCCTCCACGTGCCTTAAAAGTAATGTTCTTTTATTAGAAAGACCCAACACTGACTGTATTATGCTAAGTTCACACTGTACGGAGGAGCTAACCATACCGGATAGGGCTTCTGTTCCCACATATGAACGGTAATTGTAACAGAGCTAAAGTGGAGGTTTACCGGTCATCTCGCCCCAAGTCATTTCGCCCCGGTTACATAGCCCCTTATTCTAGAACGAGGAATATTACATTTGAAGCGTGCTTGCTTCGGTTTATGGCTTAAAGAACGAGGAATATTACATTTGAAGGGCACTTGTTTTGCTTTCTGGCTTATAGAACAAGGAATATAACATTTGAAGCGCGCTAAATGACTCGAAAATGGGGGTCTAAGTAACCGGGGCGAAATGACCAGAGTCACATATCGGATAGGTGTTTATGCTACATACCAAACAGCTTTTCGTGTCAGAACGAAAACCTATCCGGTATATTGTGATCACGGCCTAAGAGAATTATTCTTGGGTGTTCATGTTATCTATCACTCATAACCATTGAGGTAGTCTCCTTTGCAGGTGCTCGTAGTATTGTGGTCGGAGCCATGCAATGCTTCTTCCCCCTCCCCACGCGTGGGAGCGGGGAACATTGCGTGACTCCCTCCGAGCGGCTGCGAAGTATACAACCTTTGAGGAGGTTGTTATAGACTACGAGTAGTCCCCCATTTTTCCTCAGGGATAGTAGAGCGAGCGAAACGCGAGCGCGCGTGAAAATCACCCCACGCGAGAAATCCCTGAGGAAAAATGGGGGACTACTCGTAGTCTAAGGTTGTTAGGGAAAATTCAATGTGGTAACTTAACTGAGATTACTCAAAAAGGCAGGAGTACCCAAGGACCCGTTTTTGACAAAATGTATGATGCAAAGTCGCAAACACTAGCAGAGTATTTCTGCGTCAAGCTATATTAACGTTGAACTTTCCTAGGGAAAAAATATTCGTTCCTCACTGCCAGTGAGCAAGACTTTTCCCGGCAGATGAAATAGACTTCAAAATATACAACCGTGTCAGGGATAACGAAGCAAACAGTTCAAATTAAACACCACCAGGTTGAGAAGCCCAATTGGCAGAAGGCAAACTAGCCTGCGACACAAACGAAACTAAACTCTGGTTAAGTCCGTCTGCGAAACAGTGCCGAAATCCTTGTTCTGGTTCCCCACCTGTGTACCAGGATTTTTTTACGCGCGATGATTGACCTGTTAAAAAAAGCCATCGTCAATTTGCCAATCAGGTTGAAGGAAAATTGGAAACGTATTTCGGTAATTTGTTGAGTCCGTTGGGGACCAGAACAAGGATATCTGCGCTGCTTTGCAGACGTTACTAACCGAGGTTAAATTACGTCTGCGCCGCAGGCTAAAGGCAAACCAGTCTACTGTTTACAAGAATTGCCGAGAAAAAATCCAGCTAGCGCTTAGGGCGGAAGTTGAAGTTAGGCCTCCAGATTGCAAGTCCGGCGATCAAAATAAATGCCGATGGCGAGTATCACCAGCCTAGTCACTAGACATTCTCGGCTCGGTCAAACATGGACTCTAGTTCAATTCCTGTCGGGGACTTAGATTTTTTCTTTTTCCCGTGCTCGTGACATGTTGATCACATCATTTCTCATTTCTTCACCTAGCTTTAAATTTACCATTATTCTTTATTCATCGCGCACTTGACGATTTCGACATTGCTATTCTTAGCAGTACGCAGGACGCGTGTCGTGGCACGAACCTTGTATATGGCCCAGCTGGCCACGAGTCCTTCGCAGCTCAGTGGTTAGAGCATCTGACCGGTGTACAGAAGGTCATATGTTCAACTCCTGTCGGGGACTGAGATTTTTTCTTTGTCCCCAGCTCGCGCATGACATGTTGATCACGTTATTTCTCATGGACTCTACTGTGATCTGTGATGTCACCGAGAGAGACCAGCTGTTCTCTCGCCCACACTTTCCCAGACTACACGCGGACAACGGGGCGAGAGAGAACCCCTGGGGACTTGGCTGGAGTATCACGTGACAAGACGCCACTGAACCTGCATTTTTTTTCTTTAATTACAACAGGTGGTGTCCGTGGTGTAGGATTCATACACAGTCCCCTGTTTACCTATGGGCCGCGTACGGCCATGGAACTAATGCACGTGACCGACTGGCTCCCTACCCTGTATTTTGCAGCGGGAGGAAACGTTAGTGACCTGCAAAGTATTGATGGGGTCAACATGTGGGACACACTCACACAAGCCACTGAGTCACCTCGTCAGTATATTCTTCACAACATCGACCCATTTAGCGGAGCTGCAGCCATAAGATACAGGAACTGGAAACTTCTTGTTAACATATGTGAGCAAACAGAAAATTACATATACAACATATTCTAAAGTGGGGGCAATATTTATTCTTTTGCGTTTATGGTAACTTGCCCTCGATGCGTCGGTTCAAAGTAAAATTTATTTTGAATTCTGCAAGAGTAAGCAAGGCAAAGAGGGCTAATGAACATTAAAATTAAAAGGAAAGCAACATTGCCACCCTTTTGAAATAAGGTGTATTTCTTTAACCTCCCAAATAAATTTAACCATAGAATGCCTAATCTATTTATATGCAATTGGTGTGTTAACAGTGAGGTGATTAATTTATTTCCTCTCTTAGTCAAAGACCGCTGGTAATTCAGCTATAAGAGGCTTGCGCCTTGGGGAGTTTTCTTGGTGCTCCAAGAGAGCTTGGGCTGGGTTTACCGTATTCAATTTTATGGCCAGTCGGTTTTTAGTGCTGTGACAAACGTACTCTGAAGTGATTCTAAAATTTTGTCCTATTGTCATCTCACAGCTACAGCTTGGAGTGGATGGTATGCTCCTCCAGGACTCGACACCTCAAATCAAACTTCCAGAGCTGCGGTGTTGAAAAATGCTGCCGTTAGTTGCGGTAAGCCACCCAGTACCCCAGTCGAATGCACAAAACAGGCAGGCCCTTGCTTGTTTGATGTTGAAGACGACCCTTGCGAGTATGTCAACCGAGCAAACAGCAACCCCGATTTGGTGAACCAAATGCTGCAGGAGCTCGAGAAATTCAAACAAACCATGGTGCCCCCGAGAAACAAGCCATTTGACCCAAGAGCTAATCCTGACAATTTCGGAGGCGTGTGGAGCCCTTGGATGGACTAGGCACTATTTTTTTTCATCGAAGCATAGTTTTAGAGTACTGGGGTCGTCTTAAAATAATTGACTTTAACCTAAAAGTAGCGATAGATGTAAATCAACGGGTAGCGAACGTCCCTATGACGTAATGGTGAGTCGCAGGTAGACCTTCGAATCTCTGTGCGCGGGGTGACAGATTTTTATCAACTCCGTTGTTGAATTTAAATTTGTGTGTTTCCACTCCACCGGCGACGCAGCTCCCAGGTTCCTTTTGTAATGAAGAGTGTGGTTGTTACGTATAGTTTTACCAACGCACAATCAATGCTCTATCAAGTGCAAAACAAGAGGCGTGGCCATCCCCGTTTCACTCTTAAAAAGGCGTGTAAAGTAAAGGAAATTTAATTTTGTCGAACGGCTTCAAAATCGTCTGATGTAGATCTTTTCATTCTTGCACTTAAAATTGAGGCCTGTCAGATTTAGAGGTACTCATGAAACATGTGAATTATTAGGGAGTTTGTGAAGCACAGATCCTAGGTAATGGTAACTTAGCTGTTCTGAATTGCACATGTAAGCCTTTGGTTTAAATTTTGTGGTTTTTATTAAAAAAATGTTCAAGACTGATACCTAGAGTTCTACAACCAGCCTTTGTTTAAATTATTTCAGTGCTGTGTTTTGTCGTTATGGTTTGTTTGTTTGTTATTACATCAAATGAACTGATTCGATCTCGGTTCAAAGTAGCCAGCGCCAAGCGCGAGACTGAGAAAGATGATCTCCGTATGTCCATCGGAACGATTAACAGTGCTACACGTTTTGATATTAGGCTGATTTAGCAACAGAAAGGGAACGTCAGTTGACGACGGGAAAGCGCGCGGAAAGGATTAAACACGACTTCCGGTGCTCAATTTGCCGCTCTGCCATTGGTGAAGCCTTAGGTCGAACCAGTTGCTTGATTTGCGAGCGCCGTCGTCAACTGACGTTCCCGTCCTGTTGCTAAATCAGCCTAATAGTCCACCTGAACGATTTTAACCCGCATAACAGGCGCTTATGAGCCAAGCGGGGTGAGGGGAAAGAAGGGTAGGATTAGCCTTCATTCTCCTTATCCTCATGGCGTAGCCCCACTGCTATTATATAGAAACTAGAAAGCTATCGATGCGAGAAAATGTGAGTAGTTTTGACGTCTGCGTAATGCCGGCCGTCCGTACAGACTCTGGGGGAGGGGGTATGAGCCGTACCTTAGCAAGGGAGAGAAAAGGGAGGCGACCAATGGTGTTGCTCCGGTAAAAACCTTGCAGTTTTTTTTCAGTGTTTGACTTGAAAGTTTTGCTTTCAGCTTGGTCAGACTAGTACAGATAACCGGAGTTCTTGTTTTGAGTTGCTGAAAGTTCGCGCCCCTGACAAACGCCTAAGAAAACGACTCAAGGCGCCACGGAAACATAGACTTTCTAAAAGTCCTTTTATTTATGTATTTTTTTAACTTTTTTTTTGTTTTAATGAAACTTTACGTTGCGCGTACATTTTCCAGTTGCTTTAAGAGGGAGCACCCTCGAAACGTCTGGTTTCCCTCCTTTTTCAACGCGTGTTTTGATGAGAGCTGGTTTTGGAACTGGTGTTCTGGCAGTAAGAGCACCAAATGAATCGGTATGGTCAATTATATTTCTGGCTCGCCAGGAACAGGGAGAGTGCAAAAAAAGTTTAGGTGTTCACATAGTGGATAAGCTTAAATTTCCCACCATTACTTCGAGTCTTTTTTACTCCCTCAGTAACGTCTGAATCTCCTTTCAGGAGAGATCAGGAAGAGACTTCTAGCATTCTTGTCACCAGAGCTTGGGTCGCCAAAAAAAGCAGAGCTCTAATGACACGGGGCGTGGTCTTGACTCCAGCTTAAGTTAGCCTCGGCCAGGCTCTGCAGCGGGGCAAAAAAGAGGGGGAAAAAAGGGCAAAAAAACGGTATGAAGCTCGGCTCGCGTCGCTCGCCCAATTTTTTTTTTTTTGTCCTCTCGACTTTTCTTTTTCACCTGTTTTCCCCCACTGCGGAGCCTGGTTCCAGGCTATGTTAAATTTTGCAGTTGGTAACGCGCATCAGGCAAATCGCAAATTGACCGATCAAACCATCATGTGATAGTGTTGAAAATCTGGTAAAATACTATCCCATGCTCCGGAAAACCGCTGAAGGCAATGACTACGTCATTTTTGTTTCAAATAACAATAAACGTAAATGATCTACATGGTGGTTAAAAAAAATCTAAAAAAAACTACAAACAAGTCGCTAATTGTCTATATGAAGCTACACAATACAAAGTCAACCGCGACCAAACGTCCTCAGTACATTTTCAAGGACGCATTTATAAGGAAATAATGGTTGGAATTTCTCATGATAACACGACACCAAGATAAGAAAACAAGGTTTATTCAACTTGCCACTTGCCAATACACTGCAAAACAACCTTTCATACTAATGACAAAAACTAAAAATACTGAAATGAATTTTCTCTGAGACCACCTGACAAGGAGGTAAGGAGGATTCTTGAAGGATAACTCTTCAACTGCTTAAGAAATCTTCAGGCCAGCGATGGAAGATTCCAGGGACTGCAACAAACAATGAACAATGTGTTGTTCGCATTAAAAAGAAATAAAATATATCCGTCGAGTGGGTTGAGTATGATCGTCCACGTGAACGTGGTCCTGAATAGGACTGTTGTTGACAATGACGGTGACGTTTCGACAACATGTGCGGGAGTCATCTTCAGAGACAAAGTGAGTTGTATCACGTCACTTGATGGTATGAAACTTGGTTATTGACCTGATTGGTCAATTACGTCGCAATGCTATTAGTCGTCTGTCAGAAAGCTCTTGAATTCGGGGTCTACCTGTTTCGGTGGTAACAAAATAATCACAATTCGGAAGGACTGCCAGTATAGGTTATTTAATTCGATTATTCGCTATTCGATGATCATGAAGACCTGGAAACAAGCCGTGAAATACTTAAGTTAAAAATAGCAATACACATGATCCTTTAACAGCATTTTATACCTTAACATCCCAGACTACAATGCGGCCGTCAACACCTGAAGTCGTAAACTTTGTAGCAGCTGATTTAGATCCAGCAGAGATCTGCACTTGACTATGAGAAGAAAAGAGGACATCGAATTAAGATTTTAATACGCAAGTGTATCAACTGCGTGATGGGAAATATGAAATCCTCACACAATACAACAATTAATATTATCTAGTTTCACTTGCCTTGTTTGCTATGTTAAAAAGAAACAAAAAGACCGTTTTCCAAGCGCAAATAAAATAAATGAATAACACAGCTCCTTCAAAAGCAGACCAGATCTACGTAGTGCTTCTGACTGGTCGCGCCGTGTGGGAAATTTGCTTCAACCAATCAGAAGCACTACCAAGATCTGGGAAGTTACGGGAAATTTGGAATTTCATCGCTCGTTTCTCAGACATCACTTTGCAGGGAAACCAGTAGTGGCATCACAACACGTTGCATGGATTGTGTTCTCAGGCTATGACTATGGCAGACGACTGGCAACTGTTCAAGTTAAGGTCTATATTACCAATCAATATAAGAAGCAAGGAAGCAAGGTGCAAAGCAAGTCAGTTCTACAGCTTGTCCTTGGGGTAAGCTGTAGCTAGCATGTACAAGCCCATTTTTTTTTGGTAAAGCAGGATTGATAACTGATTTATTAATATTAATATTTATTAATCAATAGCACCATTAGTTATTCAATTACCCGCTATTATTAATTCATGGTAATAATAAGTTGTAATAATTAATGTTCATTTTCTCAGATCAGCATAAAAACAGCTTTTGGATTTCTAAGGAATTAAAAAATTTGTCGTCAGGACGTACTTCAATCAGTAATTTATTTAAATTCCCCTCCACAAAAACTTAACTTGCCCTAAACAGAATTCAAAAGCCAAATCACAAGAATCCACTAGCTCCAGGCTATCAGACACAACTTTGTTTGCAAGCTGTGAAGAGGAGGAAGAAGGACAATCATGATCACTAAAAGCAACAGAAAAAAAATGTTCTCACGTGATGGCATTCTGGTGAGTGGTCTTAACACCCGCATCAGCAGCACTATCATCAGCACTCTGTGCCTGTTTATCCAGAGTACGGAACTTGGCCATGGCACTGACTGTTCCTGTGGATTCCTTCTTTTTAGGCACATCAAGCTTCTGCCCCATAGTCAAACTATCACTATCATCATGACTGAACAATACTGGGACATAATCATAGCCTGAAGCAATAAAAATTAAGACACTCGTTGACAAGGCTCCATCTCCACCACTCCCTCTGTCCTCCTCCTCTGTTTAGGGGAGGAGTTTGGGCTGGAATTATGACGTATAATAATTACACAAAGAAACAAAACAATGGTTAAAAGTGTAAGGTTCCATGGGAAAAGTATGACAAGACATGAACAAGCCATGAAGTCATTTTCAATGTAAACAGTACATACCATACAAACTACAAAAATCTTAAGGAATTCATGCGAAATATAAGCCTGCTCCATGGTTTCAGAGAGTCGCAGAGTGTTCATCAGGCATCAGAGGTCAGAGAATTCTCTGTTACTAGGCAGAATTTTCCACCTAACCTTCGATAGCCTATGAATATTTTTTATTCAGACGAGGAGACCCTTTCAAAATATTTCTCTTGTAACATTACACCTTAAACCTGCTACTAGAATTCTTCATAAAAACCATTGATCAGTAGGGAGCACCAAAGAATAAAAAATTCCATCAGAGTCAGAGTCTGGCATTCTCTACATTGATTGAAATGCTGAGACATTTGTCATTTTATTTTACACCACTAAACACCAAACAGGCCACCTTGTTTGTAAAGAACCCTGAAGACAGGCCAGAAAGTTGTGCAAAATATGACTAAAGTTTTCTAAATGTGTCTGTTGTGTTCTCTACAAGAGGAATGCAACCATTACCAGCAGTGATGATGCTGTTTTCGCTGGCCCATACACAAGCCATAAAAGGCAAGAAATCTCCTTTGATGGTAGCCATTTTGTTGTCATTAGCAGCATTCACAACACTTATACTGGAGTCATGTCCAACCCAGGCCAGCTTGTTTCCTGATGCTGAAAAACTTACTCCATGAACCCAGCCTCCTGAAATTCAAAGTTGATAACTTTGAGCGTCACAAAACCAAAATAATGATTGATGGAAACCACTTATTTTGTTTAAAAAAAAACTTAACCTTGGCTTTTGATCTTAAGCGATGGTGTAATATTTATTTTGCACATTCAGTCTAAAATCCCATCCAATCACAAAATCCACAAGAAATCTAACAGTGGACAAAAAAAAAATGGAAAACCTGGACAAAAATTGGCATAAGAGCTTTTGGGAACTACAGCTAGCTAACTACAGTGGTGCACATTCTTTTACTTTTAGCTACAATAACTTGAACTAAGCAATCAATATTCTTGTATGAGCCTACCTACTACTTGATAAAAGACAGTTACTCAAAAACATAATCATTATTCCTGTATCTTGTCATATTACTCCTTCTATAAAGCCTCCAAAGACTATAATAAGAATGGCTGTGGTTTGATTTATTTATCTAAAATACCTCTGCCATTGGAAAACTCAGACAAACAAGAGCCAAAGCTAGACTTCTTGCCCCAGATAGTATCTGTGTTGGTCTTTCCGTCAACTTCCTTGATGAATGCAGAGAACACTCTGTGGGGGTAAAGAAAATTAACATAATGATAAAATAATAGAATGGGAAACATAGCTGTACAGCAAAACATGCATACAGACGCATATCTGTAGATGATGTAATCATGGGGAAAGCTCATAAATTCCTTTAGAAAACAACTTTTGGTCCACTATCATCTAGAAAAAGAATTTGTTTGTCCAACTCACCGACTACGTAGAGCTTAAGCCTAAGACTTTCTTACAATAGAGTACCTGAAGTGATGACGTCATAAAAATGAAATTTGTGAAATTATGGGATTTGTTAAGATATTCTGAAAGAACAACATCCAAGATGCCTACTCGCCAAAAATTAGCAATTCGGGGCAAATTGTCTCCGAGATATTAGCCCAGTTATGCTGTGACGATTTCATACAAATCCCTCTAAATTTGGCTTGGTTCATAAGATTAGGAACCAGGTAAGATTTAGAAGGATTTGTATGGAGTCATCGGAGCATAACTGGGTTAATATCTCAGAGACAATCTGCCCCAAATTGCTAATTTTTGGCGAGTAGGCGTCTTGGACCTTGTTCTTTCAGAATATCTTAACAAATCCCATAATTTCACAACTTTCATTTTCTATGACATCACACTTCGGTACTCTATAAAAGTCCCTTAAACAAAAACACCAAATTTTATTCATGAACTGATACAGGCAGGGGGTCATGTATTGCAACTTTGAAAGTGAATTTAATATACCAGTACAAGTAATAATACCAGAATGAGTACACTGTACATTATTATTACAGCATAATTCTTTAGCCCTCTTAATACACGGTTTTGCAAATCCGCCAAATTTGGTGTATTTTACACCAACTGCTGTAGTCAATTTTTTATCTCAGGTAATTTTTGCTTTTCTTTTGTTTTTGGGTATGGTAATCTATGCTAATGAGGTTGGAACAAATAAAAAATAAAATTACCTGAGACAAAAAATTAACTACAACAACTCCACTGAGGTTATGGAGGGGGTCACTTCGACTCCAGAAATGTTTGGTTGCAAAATAGCTTTTTCTTTCCTTTTTTAAAACAAATACTGCAAACGTTGTAAACCTGATTTAATCCACCTAAAGTGAAGTGCACGTGTGTACAAGTAGAGGCTAAATTACAAGAAATTACTCGCATGATGATCATCGTGGATTTCAGCTTTTTGAGGTCAGAGGACTCTCAAATGAGACCGTGGCTACTTCATTTTCCATCATACTTGTGTTAGTTTGACTCCAAAATAATTATTCCAAAATGACTCCAAATTTGTGAACCAGAAGTCATACTGACTTTACCAATCACGAAAAATTTGCAAACCCAGCTAAATAGGTACTGAAATGTATCATCCCTGGTGGAGGGCATTTAATTTTATAATAATATCTATTAAATGGAGTTAAAGTCTCTTTATCTCAGCCACACATCAAAATACAAATAAACTAAAACTACCTGGTCTTAAAATCAGAAGAACCAGCCGCCAGCAGCAAGTTGTTAGGATGCCAGTCAAGGCTGCAGGAAACATGATTAACCCAATGTTAGACAAACTTTCCACTGTGAACAGGGCTGTGTTCTAGCAACACCCAGAGACCCTCATATGAGGGCCAGCTGCATAAAACCTGACGTAAGACAATTAACTGCTCATGTGTGGCAGCGCTTGAATGGGCTGTACGTCAGGTTTTAGCCATTACATTCCACATGAAGATTCACTCAACCGCAGGTCCAGGTCCCTTTAGCTTACCAGTTGCTCACTGCTTTTTTTTTTTTTAATCTAGCCTGCCAGTAAGCTCTCCATTTAGAGGAATGACAAGAAGTCACACAAGAGCAGCACATGATGACGCAAGTACAAGAGACAGGGAATGAAAAAGTAGCTTGCAACTATCTCTTGTGAATTTTCATTTCCACCCCGGAAACCACAGGAAACTGCAAATCATTATAACTGTCTCCAGAAACAAGAAATGTGTTAGCTGCTTAAATTCTGTTACCTTCATCAGGACAAATGTGCCAGTTACACTAGCACTCCAAAAAGAGCAAAACATTACAATTTTATACTAAGAAAAGACCACTACAAGAAGATAATTGGTCTGGACCTTCTATAAACTGAGTCAAATCTACAATAGCCCTTGAATTCAGTGGAGTTGTGTCACTTCATGACCGCTGCATTCTATTTATACTTCAACTTCATCCTAGAAATCGCATTCGTTACTTTCCACTGTTTCAAAAAATTTATTTTTCACTGCAATAGTTTTTTGTTCATTCCATGAGCAGACCGATCTTCAAGGTATCCATTTGAATATGAGATCAACTGTTTTCGTCGTGGGGAAACTCACAGACACAAGAAACGTGGTCAGATTTAAAATAGTATTGTAATATATTTCCCTCGCAACTTCTCAGCCTTCTGATTTGCTGGTTTATATGGGCTTGAGATCCTATTAATGACCCATAAAATAAAACAACACACAGTCCACAGTGATCAGACAAAAGGAGAAAGCACTCTTCTTCCTCGCCCAATAATTTTCCTCTGAAAAAGGATTATGTTATCTTGATTTCCACAAGCATCGTGTTTCTAAGTTTATGGCAAGGAATGTTATCAATCAAAATTCATCAACAGTGTGTCACTTTTCAGCCAATGGTACTTCACTTTGTCTGGGTGAAGCAGAAATAAAAATTTATGAGAGATCGTTGCAAGCTCTCCTTTTCCTCCACCCCTTGCGGCTTCACCACTTGGTCAGGTGTTCGCTCGTGGCTCGCTTCACTTGCCATTACTGGAGAGCTTGCTCACAGGCTAATGAAAATCAGACATTGTGTTCCCGGGATTAAACTGATTCAGTGTACTGGGCTTTATTCAATTTTTTTCTAGAGCACAGCATACGTGAACCAAAGTCATCACCCAGGCAAATAACTTGACTGTACATGTATACACAGAAAATACCGAGAATATTTAAGAGAAATTTACCATAGCACAGTTGAGCGAATTGGCTTCTTGATATGCTTGCTGACCCACCTACAAAAAATAAACATGAGGATGATTTTTTGTAAAGCTCTACAAAACCAGCGCTGAAAGTTAACTCACACTTGAACCAGTCACTTACCAATCATTTTCCTTTTCAAAGTAGCAGACAGAGATCAGGCGGGCACTGCTTCCTACGGCAAACTTGTCCTCTGAAGAGTAAAAATGTAATGAAAAGGAATGCATAAGTTCTACATTTTGTAGGAATTGATTGGAGAGAAACCTCATGAATTTGAACTCTTGTTGAAAGCAAGAGCTGGCGACAGTTTCACTTTCACAAAACGGTTTGCGCTAAAGTTCAATATATCCTGACAATGACAAAACAATATTCTTATGAGCTATTAGCGGTGACTGTAAGGTATGAGTTCAAGTTTATGGGTATTGCTGTGCTAGATTAATCAGAATGATGTTCGCTTGTTTTTCTCACCTTTTGGTGACCAAGAAACACAGGTTGCAGCACGATTGATACGCAAAATAACAAGCATTGGCTTCCAGTGGCCATCTTGAAAGTTCCAAACATAAGCATTTCTGTCCTTTGAAAAAATTAAGCAAATATATGAACACTATTAAGCGCAACATGGCAAGAGCCTAATTAGGTTCACACAACAGTCACCACTTCCTTATATCTTCCTTTCAACATTATTGAAGCTAAAAATAAATAAATAAATAAATAATAATGAATAACAACAAAACTTCACAGCTAAGCTAAGCATTTTAGTAGTCTAGCCAGCAATAAGAGCCAGCGGTGCACTTATTTTCAGCCAATGAAATTCAACAGCAACTTCCTCTTAGCTACATCCCTACCGTGACTTTCAAAAATAACAGCTGACATTACAATTGAAAAAGAGTATTAACCTCTTACAGTCAAGCCAGGTCAAGACTAGTGTACCCCCCAAGATTCCATTAATAAATCCATTACTCGAAAGTTGAATCGGTTGGCGTTTGTAGATTTCAGATTCATCTCTGCATTCTTGCATGCGTGAGCTGTGAATTCACAAGCCAGGCAGTTATGAAATTTCTACCAGCTCAGTTTCCCTGAATTGACGTAAATGTCTTTGAAGCAAGTTTATCCATTTAAAGATTTTCCATCTGAGATGGAAGCATGCTGGAAGCATGCTGGAAGTTACGGGAACAATTAACAGATTCATTTTTCAAATAATCAATTCATTAATAGAATCTTGGGGGGTACACTTGACCTGCCTTGACTGTGAGATTTTATCCACATTTACAGTAAAGAACTGTCTTCATTGTGTACTTACTGCTCCACAAGTCACAAGCCTATTGCTGTTTGGGCCCCAAGCCATTCCAGTGACACGCTGACCATGCTGAACAATGTATAATGCATGTAAAATATTAGTATTCTTATTACAAAGGGTGCTGAACAATGTATTATGCATATGAAATATTCATATTCTTATTATGAAGGGTATAAAAACAAACAAAATGGTTTTACGTGTACTGGTTGCATGTACAGCTGCACAAGTGGAACAGATTGACCTTTTTTTCTACTCAGAATGTTATTGACAAAGGTACAAAATAATATTCCTCCAGCCACCCTTTCCCTCTCCAGCCCCCAGGTGTGGTTGGTAACTTAATAAAGGTTACATGCAACTGAAAGGTTATGACATATTCCATACCTTACCAGCAGCCACAAAATGCTCGAAATTTGTCAGCTTCTTTGGAAAAAGAATCTTAAGGCCCGGTTCAGACGCCGAACTTTTCATGAGCCAAACCTAATACACTGGAATAAGTACATGAAAAGTTGGGCGTCTGAATCAATTAGGAACACCTGTTTCCATTTGGAACGGCTTTCTTTTCACCAAGCCCCGCCAGAAAGTCTGCCTTTGGACCACCTTTGGAACAGCTTTGATTCAGATGCCAAACTTTCCCTGTACCGAACCTAATGCATAAATTATTATAAGATATTTTGTAAGCAGTTTGACCAAAAATAATGAACATTTTTCGCCATTTGAGCTTAGTTCAACTGCAATTAAGATCGGCATCTGAATCAATTCAGCTGGTCTAAATATTTTGGGTCGACCTTAATTCGAATCTGGTTCGGCTCCTGGAAAGTTCGGCCTCTGAACCGCGCCTAAGGCCCAATTTCCTTCAATTTGCCACACTGGAGGGGGTGGGGTGAAGATAAAAAATGGGAGGTCCCCATATTACTGCTTTTGGATAAAAATCTTAACTTTAGGACAAGCCAAATTGCCTGGCTTACTCTACTACCGCCCTCACCTCAGTCAAAACAAAACCCTTGTCCCATTTGTTGCCGGCCTTCTTGTGGATATGAACAGTGTTGTCGTTTGGAGAAAAGGCAATTTCTGTCAAATCAAAGAAGTATATTACAAACTATACGCAACATAACAATAATCAAAATTTGAGTTCCTGTTAAAGTTTAAGTACTACATTATATATATCGACGAGCCAAAATTACCCCTGATCAGTTTCACGTTTCCTCGTCATGAACTGAACGTATAAACGGAAGTAAAAATGTCCGAAGACAAAACTTACGACTGCAGTCCTTATTGAAGGCAAAACAAGTGATTGGTCGAATGGACAGTTCGTAAACCTCCTTTCCCGACATCTCCAATCAATAGGAAGAACTTCTTAACGCAAAAAAGCGATAATCTCGACGATAATTACTGCGGACTCTGGGCAGTCTACACAGCAAAATGGCGTCCACGAACTGTTTCCGCCTCCATCAATGGGTGTGGCCTTTAAAAATATATCGCTATCTTTGATTGGTTTTGCAGTAGTGATAATGACCAATCACAACAAGGTTTAGATAAACACTCAGTTTTGTGTTCGTGTATGGAATAACATTGTGTCTCGTCGACCACAGCCCTCTCGATGCGTGCTTTTTTGCGGAGCGTTTACAGTAAGTCGATCAGGGTCAGTGCTATGGCTCATGCAGCTGTTGAACCTCCAAAGTATATTGATGGATCTCGGATAAAACAGTTCCTTAAATATGAAGATCTTATACCCGTTATTGAAGAGGCTTTGTTGAATTTTTCTGCCCGTGAGAGCGGTGGGATTGTCCAGCCCGTGCGCTCTTCGGTGGCTGTAGAAGATCGTGGGTAGGCATGCAATTATTTATTTGTACTTACTTCAGATGTTATTTTTGGTTACGTTTCTGTTTATATAAATGCATCGACAATCTTCCAAAAATCTGTTGTTAAAAATTTAACACAAAGGATTCCCGGGGGGACTCGGCATAGGAAAGGGGTGGTGATGCTCGTCGTCTCGCTTAGGGGTGTAAATTTCGGATTTTGGTCTCACTTAGGGTGTTCTGGGCAAAACGCCATCATATTTAGCCGTGAAGGTCTCGTTTAGGGTTGCACGCGAAAAAACATAAAGATATATATTTGATATGTATATTGTTTTGGTCTCTTTTAGGGGTCAAAAATAGCTTGAGCCACGCCCAAATCGGTCTCCTTCAGGGGCTTAATTCAAAATTTCCAATGAGTATCCCCACCCCTTTAATATGCGGAGTCCCCCCCGGAAAGGATTTAAATAATCAATGATCGGCCATCAGTTGCACACTTATTAGCTCCATCCCGAGTAAAAATTTTACAGGACACTCCATTTTGAACCCGCCTCCGCCCCCACTGAGGGAAGGCCTTTTTCAGTGGGGACTAAATCGAATCTGTTGGAATCTCGAATTTGGGCTGGATTTTTCCTTGCATCGGAGCTGTAGCCTGACATGTAAAAATGCCCCCTCCTCTAATCAAAGTGCCCCTTCTCTGATTTTTTTGGAGGGGAATGGGCGACTGTACACAGGCTAGGGAGCTGTTGATAGTCCCTAATTCCTTTATCAATGATGTGTTATTTGAGTCAAGTTATATTAGTTAAACTGGGCTTCAACTGACCAAATCCGTAGTAATGAGAACTAAACTTACTGGGGAACCTCTTAAAAGAACAACAGGTTTCGTTTACTTAATACACATTTATATTAGCACACTGAGACAATAGTCTGCATTAGAGCCGCACAGTTACTCATGACCTAGATAGGCTAGAACTTGATTTAGATTACAGACTGTCTGTGATGCAGGCTATGAGTGACATTAATGGTCAGAAATATTATTATCATATCTTTTCCACTTCAGCTTTTTTCTTGTTATGCCTGCATATTCAGCTAAAGACAATGCTCTTGCTGTGAAACTGGTAACAGTATTTCCAGAGAATAGTGAGCAAGGCCAGCTACCAGCAATTATGGCAAATGTCATGGTGTTTGACTCAAAAAATGGTTTGCTTAAAGCAGTGAGTTTTTTCTTTCTTTTTTTATTAACCGAATTTTGTTCAATGACGTAGCAAGACCCTTGCTATTTTTTTCTTCAACTTTAGTGGCCATTCCATGAGATGATTTTAACCTATCGTTTTAATATGTTATGTATTTATTTGCAAGATCATGGATGGAGTTGTGATCACAGATATGAGGACTGCCGCAGCATCTGCTGTCGCTACCAAGGTATAGATAGACAGACGCATGTACCTCAGGTATCTGATTGAACATCAGCTTTGTAGCAAATGTGTTTTAAACTCTCCCTGCTCATGGGAGTCTCCTGTCTTTTGTGCATGGCTTACAAAATCTCTAGGCTTAAGTTGACTTTTTTAATGCTTTGCTCTTTCAAAGTTTTCCAAAATCTCACTGAATGCATTTTATTATTATTATTATTATTATGTCGTAGTATGAAACTTTGGAATGCTGTCCACATTATGAGTAGTATAGGGCGCATAGCATAACCTACACCACTTGAGAAGCTATACTTAGAAGAAAAAAAAGGTCGATACGAAACCTAATACAATCCTAAAATACATAGTGATAGGAATCTCTCTACTTAAAAAGCCAGTTTAGAATATTTTTAAATTCTGATACTCTGTAAAACCTTCACTATCTCTACTAAAAGCCTATACATAGTGATATAAATCTCTCTACTTAAAAAGCCAATTTAGAATATTATTAAATTCTGATACTCTGTAAAACCTTCGCTATCTCTACTAAAAACATATTTATAATAATATCACACTCTAATGTTCTAAAAAATCTAAGTAAAAACGTCAGCAAGCTTGTGTTTCTAGATTTCTAGAGAAAAAACAAAAACCTAGAAACTGAAGTCCATAGCGCCCTAACTAAGTATTTATCTTAAATGTTCTGGCAATGTTTAAAGTGTTTGAGTTGACCGACTTCTGCATCCGCTCAAGTACGCTCCGTGCTCTCGCTCCAACTAGCTTCCTCACCGACTTCTCTATTGTAGGTGTTTAGAGTAACCCCCCAGTACGTCAATTATTACGTTGTACTGTTCAACCCTGTAATCATTGTATCTCTACTTCAGCTCCCACATCATGGGCCCATACTTGAGTGTCTTTTCCTCATCTTTCTTAGCTCTACTCTCAATCCATGGGCAGCTCATTTCAATTGTGCAGACTTCTTTCCTCTCGTGCTTTGGTTGACAAGTCCCGCGTCGATCCGATTTGCTCTAACTTCGTTGTGCTCTGCATAGATGGGAATATCCCAAAACGCCTCACTTGTGGTGCTCTGCTAGGCTGGTTTTGGCATCACCGGTGAGTACCATGGTGGAACCTCTTCCATTAACCCATGCTCTCGCAGGAGCTCAAAAAACAGAATCTTCAAAGCTGCATTATGCCTGTATAGGTACTTGGTTTGTGCCAGGGAGGAACATCCAGCCAGTACATGTGCAACGCTCTCAGCTACCTTCCCACATAACCTGCATAGAACTTCGCCGTCGGTGGAGGTTTGCGTCTTCTCCTTTGTGTAGAGCTTCGTAGGTAACAACTGCTCATACAATTCATACACGCCCACGACGGTATGTGTAGGGCATGTAGCCCAACCTTTTAACCATGCAAAGCAGCTGGTTATGCTTAGGGAAAGTTCATTTAATATGACAAGGGGGGAGGATGAAGATATTGAGGGGGGGCTCCGAAAATTTTTAGACACCCGAAGGGGGGGCTCTGAAAAAATTGTTGCGCTAGGAGGGGGGGCTCCGAAAATTTGTATACTTCAAAACCAACACATGACATCATCATACAAATCGGATGGTTTTCAACTCAACAATTTAATGACCTGTGCAACTCAGCTATATCACGTGGTTTACAGATATAACAAATGTAGTCTCAGTAATTATTACACTCTTGTTCATCCCAAAAATGCAGGGATCTCATCACAACTGTATCTCAAGTTTGTCATAGTATAAACCATTGAAGACAATAACGGCAAATATATTTAATACAGTCTAGCGATCTTTTTTCAGGGGAGCAAAGGAATTGAAGGAGGAGGAGGGGGGGGCTCTGAAATTTTTTCGACTACCAAGGAGGGGGCTCCTAAAAAATTGAACCGCTAGCGATGGGGGCTGCTAAAATTTCAAGCTTCGAGTTTCAATATCTTCATCCCCCCCCCTTGTATCAAGCTGAAGGGTGATGTTGAGTTCTTCAGCATACTTAGCTGCTTCCTTTACTGGTGACCTGATGCCATGGCGTGTTCTTCAAATTCTCTAACTGCTTCCACAGTCTGGTCCGGGTTCTGATACAATTTCAGTAGCGATTTGATTTTAGTGATCTTGTACTCTTGTTCAACTGATCGCAGGCCTCTACCCCCTTTCTCCCTCGGTAGATATAACAAAGAAGTCAGGCTAGCTGGGTGCTTTCCACCGTTCTCCACTATGATCTTCCGCGCTGCTCTTTCCACATCTCTTAACTCTGATAGAGGCCAATGCTGTGTCCACATTAGGTACCGCAGGACCGGGAGTGCATACTGATTAGATGCCTACACACGGTTACAATCAGACAAGGGGCTGGACCATATAATAGATATCCTGCGTAGATACTCTTTACCCGCGCAAGCTAGGGCCAGCCGTTCATCCTGTCGAACGTTCTCAAGCACCCCCAGGAATTTGTAGTGTTTTCCTTCCCCAAGAGCCGTGATGGTAGTTGTCTCGTCCATCCTCATACCAGACTCGTCTAGCACTTGGGCTCCCCTCTTCACGTGTACCACTGAGCACTTTTTCTGATTCCAGTGGAGGCCGATGTCCTGCATCGCTCCTCTAGTCTCTTTCAGCACTCGATTCAGCTTGCTCTCGGAGGCAGCAAAAACCTTGAGGTCGTCAATATACAGGAGATCGGTGACTTTGACTCCTATAGGCTTGGATAACCGGTATCCCTCTGTTGCCCGCAGGCGCCCCGCTACAGAGTTATTATTATTATTATTATTTTTTTTTTTTTTTTATTAACTTTTTGATGCTTTTTATAATTGTTATTAGTAGTCTTTGGATAGTCATTTTACGACAATTCTCTTTCGTACACAAGAAGAATGTACATATATAGGGTATATATTTTAATATTTCATATTCTTGAATCTGTAAATAGTCTATTTTTTTAAATCTATGAATAAAGTTTTGAAATTTAAAAAAAAATTATTATTATTATTATTATTATATTATTATTAATAAACTCATCCATATTATTAGAATCAGTGCGTTGACATTTATGGTATCCACTGGGACTTTTGACTTGATTTTTTTATAACTCTATGTGATTTCTTGGAATTTTGACTTGGGAAGGGGTTTTGCTGGAGTTTTGTTTTGATATTGATGTTTTCTTTTTATGAATATTTTACTGATGTTTTGTGGGCAGCTTTTTTTTAAAATTTTAATAAAGTATATTGATTATTATTATTATTATTATTGTTGTTGTTGTTGTTGTTGTTGTTATAGTACAGTTTTTCAGGGGCAGCATTTTCATATGCCACCAGTCAGCCCTTCAAAATAATTTGGGGCTGTCGAAAACTTGAAATCATGTGGAATCATCATAGATAGTATGACTACTATTGGTTGGTAGGGTGGGCTTACAAAGGGGTAGGGAAACTGTTATTTAATTCATTAATGATAGTCAATTCAATAAATGCTAGTATGATATGCTCCACATTTATGTTTCATTGTTTTTCTAAATTATAGTACCTTGCTGCAAAGGATGCTAAAGTGTTGTGTATTTTAGGGTCTGGGGCCCAGGCAAGAAGTCATGCCCAGGCCCTTAAGCTTGTCAGACCTTTCTCTGAGGTATGCTATTAAAGTTGACACTCTCTCTGAATAGCGAGGCTGGACACATTTTAGGTTGAAAACATAGAGGATTATTATATGGCTGCATGGGGATTTGAAATTTCTCTTTGAGTTTTGAAAAATATTTCACTTGTTCGCTGCCCTCACCAGTGGACTATCATTGAATACAAGTAGAGAAATTTTGTATGTCCAAGTGGCCATGTAATGTTCTATTTGTATTATCTAAAGACCAACGAAAATATCAAATCATTTCAGTAATTAATAATATTGATATTTTCTTCTACCAGCATGTCAATCGTTGTTGTAAAAAGTGAAAAAAAATATTATACTATTTTAGTTAAATATGGTTATTCCAGACAAGATGTTATTTTGCTCATAGATAAAATATTATCAAAGTTTTAGCAAAGCCAAGTAAAATAAGCCATATATGCTTTGGCCAGTAGAAAATCAGTCCTCTATGGTCTCTCTGTAAAAAGCCATGACTGAATTAGGCTTTTAAGATTGCCATTGACTTCATATTCTTTCAAGGTTAGAGTATGGAGTAGAACATTTGCCAATGCACAAAAGTTTGCAAATGAAATTGGTGCAAAAGCTTGTTCAACAGTGGAGGAGGCAGCATCATGTGCTGATGTCATTGTGACTGCTACCATGGCAACCACTCCCATTCTGTGTGGAAAATGGGTCAAACCTGGGGCTTTGATTAACGGTGAGCCTATTTTGTCATTCATCACCATCTTGTTCTTAATACTATGTTTTTCACGCTCAGCTGATCTTGCAAAAGAGGCAAGAAATGATTGAAGTTCTCTCACAGTGAATGGAACCTGGGAACGAGTTACATTTTAAGGTGTCAATTTTCGTGCTTATCAGGTGGTCGAGTTTTTGTTTCTTGTCGTACAGTGCAACAGCTTTTCTCACCTTCTTGCCCTTTGACAGTTCAAAAAAAAGTTTGTGTTAGTATCAGGTAGGTTCAGAATGGTTTTCTTTTTCTTTCTTTTTTTTTTTTTCCTTCATCTTTCGAAAACATTTTGTGATGGTTGTGATTAAAGTACACGTTGCATTGTCGTGTGGCCGACAAATGGCGTTCAGTGTGTGAGAACAAAATAATAATTTTAGATCACTTGAGAAGGTTTTGAGGGATTGATCTCTCTTTAAATGCTCTTGCATCGTATTCGCTAAGGAGTTTAAGACATGAAAGGTAGCTTAACTGGGCGTAGTTATTTCATGCTTTAGAAAAAACGTCTTGTCATGCATCTTAAAGGCCTGTTTCCATGGGTGATTTTTAGCGCAACTTTTACTCCAGTTTTTACACCATCTTGAGTGTTATTTCTTAAACTATCGGCAATCGTTTTTTCTTCATCTTGGCGATTTGTTCTTGCGAGATCACCGTTCAGTGTTACCAACCTTCTCAAATTGTGATGAGTAGCCAAAAAATCCTACCTTGGATCTTGTCGCAGATAAGTGTTTCAGTCCATCAGACTTACTTTAGTGTAACCCCAGCCTGCCTCGCAGACGGAATCTAACTCCGGTAAGTAACGTCTGCCAAGCAGCGCAGATATCATTGTTCTGGGCCCCCAACAGACTCAACGAATTACCGGAAATGCGTTTCGAATTTCCTTTAAGCTGATTGGCAAATTGACAGTGGTTTTTTAACAGACCAATCACAGTGCTCAAATCCTGGTACACAGGTGGGGAACCAACACAAGGGTTTCGGCGCTTTTTCGCAGACGGGCTTAACAGAAGTTAATTTCCGTCTGTGGCGCAGGCTATGTAACCCTTACATATTAGAGATTGCAAAAATGGCAATGTAATTGCCAGGAAATCGCCAGCAATCCTCTCTCTTGCTCAGCCCACGGAGAAAAAGGGGAGAGAATAATTGCCGCGATCGCCGTTAAAGAGATACTTTTTTGTTTAACCGCGTGTGAACGGGCTTGCTGGGATTCAACTATTAAACAAATTTTAAAGCCCTGCTAATAAGGAGAAAACGTGTCCCGAGTAAAAGGGTGACTCGGCGCCCCAATTATCCCTTTCGTAAACGGTCGCTGCCATTTTTAAGACACTAGGAAAATTTTGACCGGTTATTGAGATTGTTTCTATTAAAGGGAAAGAAAATACGACCCACCCTGGGTTGTACCCGGACGTTTCGTGTCCTTATCTCTCTCCCTTACTACCACGCCGACCCACCAAAATTCCGAAGAATTTAAGTACATACACAAGCAAACTGTTTTGATTTCATCAATAATAGGCGACCCTAGCCCTGTCCATAACTTTTAACGGAAATTCAATTTGGGCTTCACGTCGCTCTTTCTAAGACTATTAAAAAACGTATTATTTGGCCCATTGTAATTTAACCCTGGGAATATACTACACCTATCATCACTAAATGCTTGGTTATCAATCCTGGTATCGACCGTTTACGATCGAGGGAAATAGGCATCGTCGCCCACCCAAGCTACTTTGGGTAAGGCAACGTTTGCTTGGCGAACCGTTTACAGGTGAAACAAAAGGTTGGCTCGGCTAGAAAGGTAAACCCCTAGCCGGGTCACCCTTTTCGAAGGTAGGGTTACCCCTTTAGCCGGGCAAAGTTTTCTCCATAACTATAAACACTTTGGCTCGCGTAACTGGGTCAAATCGGTCAAGGAGAGACATAAGAGCATACGCGAGAACGCTTGCTTAAGTTATTGTTTAAAGTTATTGTGAGCTTATGCAACAGGGAGGGGGAGGAAAGATGACGGTAAACCTTTTTTTTTAGTGATTATCTTATTAAGAATGCAATTGACCTTGAAAATAGTTTCTTCTTTTTTTATTCGAAATGAATTGTTTTAATTGAAATGAAATGTTCTTAATTTGAATAATTTTTATTTAATGAAATGAATTTTTTTTCTAATCAAAACGAAAGGAATTGTAAATAGTGTTTTGACGAAACAGTTTTTTTAAAGTGAATCAGCCGTAAATAGGCTTTTAATAGTTAGTATGTTATAAATAAAATGTGATGCAAACCTTGTGTGACAAGGGCGACAATAATTTAATTTGAGAAAACCTCTTCGCCAAGCTTAACCCTTCCTTAAACAGATCTTTTTGTCAAAGACCAAAAAACACCAATTTAAGTGAAGATCACGAAAGAACACGTAAAGGCCTACGTAAGTAGTAGCCCTGTAACGTTTGTCACATACGAATGTTTTGCCGTCCTCTTCTTTCTGCCGTCCTGTTGCGTAAACTCACTATTAACGGGGTTGGGAAGGTGACCCTTTTTCCCAGAACAACTTCTCTCCATAAAAACGTGGCCGTAGTGACTGCATGCAAGATTGCACCATTTCCTTACACTTTGATGTTGCAGCTGTTGGTGCACCTCGTCCAACATGGAGAGAGCTTGATGATGAGCTTATGCATAATAGTTTTATTGTAGCAGACAGCATTGAAGCAGCGCTAAAAGAAGCTGGGGATGTGATTCTCTCTAAGGTCAGTGGTAAAGAAGTCTCTAATAAAATACTGGAGGTAAACGGCTTTTTAAACGTGAATTGACGCCGCTTAGAACTTTATTACGATTATTGCATTTCGTTCAATTTGCCGCAAATGCAGGCGAATTTTTGTCGAGTTGAATTCTTAACAACCGTATCCAATTGCAGAAAACGAAAAACAAAACCGTCGTTTCGTGTTTACGTTCTCCATAAAAAAGTGAAATTACGCAATTTTACGCCGTAGTCGTGCAGTGACGGCAACGAAAAGTAACAACAAGTGTGTTGCATTAGCCCGGAGCAAACTCTCTAGGGGACGGCTCTGGGGAGGGCCAGAGAGCTTGAGCTCCCCCGCCCCCAGAGCCCCAGAGAGAGCTTGTTTGTAACCTTGTGATGCCCCCCGTGTGCCCTCGTGGTTGAGTTCTGATAGAGAGCCCAGAGATGAATAGACTCACAGTACTTGCATCTAACAATTGCATGAAAAAGATTCAGGCTTGGCTCTCAGCTTTTTTGCCGTTCATGCCAAACTCTCACGTCTTTGCTGCCGACTCTTCAACAAGAACGCCTGCCAGCAGGCTGCTTTCGTCATTTCCAAAAATTGAAATTTAGGAAAGAGTGCAAGTTATTTCAAGCTCAGGAAACGCTGAAAAGTAGCCTTAGTAGGTCGTGGTTTTGTTTGTTAGCACGCAAATGAGGGGCAAAGCTTCTTGCTCGTTTCTGCTCTCGTCGCCAACTTAACCGCTAGCTATGACACAGGCTACTGAAAGGCAAATAATAACACAGAAAGTACAAGGAGGGCTAACTCTAACATAAAAGCTTTGCAGGTATTTTTGGTTGCTTTTCTTCCATTTAGCAAATTTGTGGCGCTGATGATTAGTATACATGATCATCATCATTATTGTTTAAGCTATTTTTGATCATGTAATGATCAGATGCCAGAATCGTTATATATAATAATCTTTTTTTTTTCTTCGTATTTTAAAGTCGTCTGTGTCAGGAGAAATTGGTGATGTGATATCAGGAAAGCTGTCTGTTCCTGAAGAAAAAACAAAGATTTTTAAGTCGTTAGGTAAGTGAAACTAAGTGGAACTGCAATCCGCTGTGTTTACATTGAGGGCCGATAGTCTCAATGTCTGCTTATTCGTGTAGATTCTTCATTAATTTAAAGTGATCAGTCTTCAACCTTTGCTCTTGCAGGTATGGCAGTTGAAGACGTCGTAACTTCTAAGTTAATTCTCAGCAAACTTGAAGAAACTAAAGCGCCCAAACCAGGACTTTAGCTGTAACAGCCTTAGTTACTGTCATCTTGCGTCTTTAATGCATGAATGGTTTTATTTGACTAAATTAATGATGTCGAGTTCATTTCCTTCCCTCGATCGTTGAAGAGTCGTCTCTAGGTAACCGCTATAAACGCTGAACTTGTTCCCAGAGATTGTAGCGATCAAAGCATCCTTTACTGTGGCTAAAAAGGTACGCAAGAATGAAATGGAATAGGGCACTCTAAACTGCCCGTAACGTATAGAATACGTAAAAATAGCCAATTTAGTCAAGGTATATACTAGTATACTTTTAATTTTTGAAAAACAGCCGCAAAAGGCTTCTTCGATGCCATTGCGGGCGTTTTTTTCACATTTATCAGCCCTATCGTACACTTCAGGAAGACGATTACTGTATACAAAACGATCGGAGTTTATCAATGCCGAGTTTTAATTGAAAGCGTTCTAAAACTTGTTATACAACCTATGAATCTTTAATGAAAGAGACATTTTACTACATTTTACCACCTATTGATGCTAGTTGCGGTACCTCTATTTTACAATGTAACTATAAAAACGGTAGCAAACAATTAGAAGTAAAGAAAGCCGTAAGAGGAGCTGCTCTTGTTCTCCTCGGTGGTCAGTTTTCGGTGGCATCTTTTTTCTCTATCTGCGGGGAAGACGTCTCGGGCGTCGATCTGCAGTAGTTAACCACCCATGCTCGGTCCCTATGAATAGAAAGACAATTTTAGTAAGTAGACTGGTAGTTGCTTTTCTGCCTCTTTTAAAGTTTTAGTGTTGCGCGATATTGTCGTGGCGTTTGTTCAAGTAGAACAAGGAAAGAAGAAGATTTTGTCACAAAAGGATCAGTTATGCTAAAGAAACTCGACCATAAACTGCGGTTTCGCGAAATGTAAAACCTTCAGAGCAATTTTTTTTTTCTTTGTTATTATTTTCCTTGACATTCGATTGGATAAGTAACTTGTAATTAAGAGCTTAATAATAATAATAATAATAGTAATAATAATGTCTTTATTATGTTTTAGGCAAAAAACCATGCATATACCAAGAACACGAAAAGCTTAAAATTACGTTATGAAATATTAAAATTAACATTAAAAAAATAAAAAAACATTTCACATTAAATTGCTACTTTATATTTGAAAAAAATTATCAATAAAACTTTTTTTCTAACGTTGGTTTTTGACCCCATGGAGCTCGAAGGTGCGCAGAAATTTCTTTTGTTTTGGGGAGGGAAGGATGCAAAGTGGCACGTGATCTGTCTCTTCTCAGACGTCATATATGTTAACTTGGTAAGATATGTATTTGCGTTTAAAGCAGCGCTGAGAATATTTCTAGACCGTTGTTAATTCAGGTGTTGAGGACGCGTATAAAGGAAGAGCGTAAGTTAAGTTTCTGTGAAACTATTGATATAAAAACGTAATCTATATCTGGTTGTTGGTATCCCTCTGTACGAAACTTATCACAGGTAACCCCTATCACTTTTAAAGGAGAAGCTTGGGTATGTTGTTCATATGGTCTATATTATGGGCTGCCTTCTTACAAAGTATCAGTCCACTGCATTTATCAGGAGACTTTTAGGATAACATGGAATGGCAGCCTTATGTTCACCAGAAAAACTGCGGACAACCTCATGAGAAAAATCTATTTCATTGTAACATACTTTGACGTGCAGGGTAGGTACTGTCATCAGCACATTTGTCGGACTATGCTAGTGACGCGACTGTTCTTAATGGCCAAATCATTAATAAACAAATTTAAAAGGTGCGGTCCACTAACACTTCCCTGCGTGGTTCCTTTGTTCATGCATTTATAGGTAACGCCCTTAAATATTAGTCGTTGTTTCCTATCCATTAGAAAGCTTAAATACCAGTTCACAACATACTCCATTTAATAGAGGAAGAGCCTTTTAATAACTTTGCCCCAAACAATGAGTGAGGGATATCTCTGTAAAGAATCGTTTTATAACAATTCAGGAGCGGATGCATGAACTTCCCCCTTCTTTCAGTCAAGTGGTCCGGTTGAATTCACCTGCGTCAGGCGTTTTTTTTTTTCTTTTTCGGGGAAAAAAAGAACATCCTTTTCCCTCATCTCCCAAACAAGAGGGAAGAAGGACACCTGATCTCAGGTTAAGTGGGTCTCAGATACGTCACCAAGGTGCATTGACCGAGAAGGCCTGGGAAGATCAGAGGCCTCACAGAGACTCCATTTTGTTGGAGGTTCTCTGTCAGGACAGCTTGTCCTCTCCACCTACTCAGGAAAGGGGACTTCTTCCAGTCTAGTGAGCAAACAAATGACCATGACTTCTTCATGAAAGTGGGGCTAATGATGTGTAGTACCTTTTCTCGCTGTTGAAGCAGCTTGAGATGCCAGTGATGTAAAATCTTTTGTCCCTGTCCACCTTGTACTCAAAGTCCTCTCCAGCTTTATTCAAATGGTGTGACTGATGGCAGTCCGTGTGATCAAATCCCTCGTCGTTGCAGCATTTGAACTTATAGCGCCGATCACCGCCAACGTAGATACTCTGAATTCCTGGACAGGTAAAAACAGAACAGAATGTTTCAGGCATGACGATGATTCTGCTTAAATGCCACAATGCGAGGTTCAAGTCTTAACCTGAATGTTTATCGTCAGTACCACTTCACGGTCGTTTTTGTCTCGATCAGATTGATACTAATGCATTTTAAATTCCGACAAACAGTTAGATTTTTCAGAATGGCAATCTCGAATCAGCAGAGGGCCTGTTATTCGTCGCCTTTGCGTCAAAGCCAAGAGAGGAAGAACAGTGCTTCGTGGAAAGAATTAAAATTCCCAGGCAGAGATACAGTGTAGACATTTCAGGGTGCCCCCTCCCTATAGTTCTTCAAAGGTCCGCACCCCCTCCCCATTCGTCTTAATTTGCTGCCTCCATGCTTGGTTGAAGGCCCTACCTGATATAAAACCATTATTGGGGCAGTAGAAGAAAATGCCATCTTTTGCATCGTTGGCGTATCCATGACTCCAGTGACAAAATTCTTTGGAAGCCTCGTTGAACCCGCAGTCGAATTTCCAAAGTCGGTCTTGCTGGCAGTTACGGAACACACTCTTCATGTAAGTTAAAGAATGACCTGTAAAAATGAATAAAAGCGAAAACTTCAACGCGAGTTTAAAGAATGTCAGTTTTATGCTGAACACTCAGAACAGTGAGCCAGCAAGCTGTAGCTTCCTCAGCCTCTTCCAGGCTCTCAGATTATGGGGAAGACGCGAAAGAAAAAGGCGCGCGAAAAGTTTGAGAAACCTAGCGAATAAGACGGATTTACAACTTTCTGTCCATTTTTTTTTTCTTTTTAAATAGTGACATCCCGCATTGCCATTCTAAAAAATTGTAAAGTAAAGTACTCTATTTGGAAAAAAAAACTTTTGAAAATTAAAAGTTTGAGAAATAAGCAGTTTTTCAAAAAGCTCGAAATGTAGTCTCAGACACACCTATACCGCGACCCCCGGCCCCTCCCCCGGTTCGTTCGGTCCGTCTCCTCGTTGGATCGCACCTCCCCGTAAAAAATTCTGGCTACGGGCCTGTAACGGAATGCATAATTTGTTTCTTTTAAACTTGTAACAACACATTTTTATATGCCTTACCCTTGGGGCAATCAAAAAACAGCTTGCCATGCCAGGTATTATCCCATTTGATGTCCGTTGGTCTTGCTGTAGAACAGGCTTGTGCAGTGCTGGGCGGCTTCTTTGTTGTCGGTTTATGAGCGGGGTATGGCCTACGGGTGGGGTAAGGCCGTCGGCGATAACGTCGTCTATACCTTCTCCTCCGGTACCTCCTCCTCCCCCACGGAAGTGGATCATGTTGAACGGAGTGTTCATCCTGATCATCATCATCGTCCACCATTTGGTCCTCGTTGTCAAGGTCCTCATCAACCTCGGGGTCTATATCGGCAAGGACGGATTCACTCTCTTGCTGTTTTTTAGGTTCCATTCGTTTTTCTCCAAAAACGCATGTTAGTGCCAAAACCACAACCAACGTTAACACAGTAGGTGCTCGAATCATTGTCTCCTAGATCCAGGAGGAAAACGCCAAAATATTTTGAAAGGAAATCATTGCTACTGTTATGTTATTTTCACCCCATTCTCGTCCCCCTGAACGTCGAGATTCTATTGAACATCGAAAAAAAAAAAACGGATAAAAGAAACGCGTTGGTGATGTAACCCACAAAACAAGTCTGTAGGAACATGACACTTCGGACCTCGCGTTATTTGCCCATGTCAAGCGCCATTGTGGCTCTTGCGCATGTGTAATCTGTAGTAATATAAGCCCGGCCAAATAAACATTTTTGGATTACAGGGTATTATGGCTGGGAATTAAAGGGACAGGTTCACGGCTAAGCGCATGCTCATAAATTAAATTCCTTTTTTCCGATTTATTCTGATTGATTCTTTCGGTTAATTTGATCCCACTCACACGTATCTCAGCGATCTCAGAGTGAATTTCAAAGTAGCATTGTATTTCTGAGTAACCTGAGGTACGATGGAGGAGTACTAAAATCGCAGAACAAATTATTGGATTATGCCAACACTACCAACATTGAATTTATTGTTGACCCGAAGGTTTTATTCCACGGTTGATTAATTTAAAGCTATTTGTAAATATTTAAGTTAATCAAGTGCAAGTGACTGCCAGGGGAGTGTGCAGATTGGTTCTTTGACAACCTTGTGACATGATCATATTGCTTGCCTAGAATATGCAGCAGGCCCGGCAGAAAAACAATATTTTGATGAGCATGCGCTGAACCGTGAACCTTTCCCTTTAAACAATTACCAAAGAAACAAAAGAATCAGGGCTTTGCAAGTAATTTAGAGGGTACACCTTCATTACTTTTCTAGAACTGTCAACCAAAATAAACACTGTCAGCTTATTAAAGTGAGATCGGAGACGTCATTAGTTTAAATGCCTAAATTCCGTCGACGCCAAGGAAATTCTGAGTGTTCCTTTTAAAAAAACGAGTGAACTGCCGAACTAAAACCACCGATCTATCATCTAAAATCACCATGAAATAAGGCTACGAAGGAATTATGGTAACCCTCTGAAATACATACATTAAGCGATAAGAAATGTCTTTAAAGTGCATTCACAAGTTGGTCTTAGGTTAAACACACTTAGTATAAAAAAGGTTGTCTGAGCAAATAACACTCCCTAGAAAAAAATTTGTTTATCCTAGTAAACCTTTGAGCTCATGCAGCCCTTTTACTTTTAACTTCTTTTAATAATATTTTTTTCGAACCATTAACTCGAATAGAATAGATACGAAGCCAAAGGAAACCAAAAGGAAGATGAAACAACAATCTCTCTAAGAGAACGCCTCAGACAGGCGCGGTGTTCTCAAGTCTCTTGTTCTCTTTTCCTGTCACTTAACAGACAGTGCTCAAAGATCCAGAAAAATCATTTTCTAAATCACTGAGAAATGAATGTTACTAGGTTATAAACAGCCTACCAGGTTGATTCAAATTACCACACCATGGGATTTCATTCACTTCATCAAAAGTTCGGTTAACTTTACTTCTCCAAATTAATCGACTCCAGGGTTGACTGAAGTATCAAAAGGCAACTAGGATCATTACCGCTATGATCTTTCGGCCGATTGTTAAACGTATTTGATTTTTATTGAATGGAGAGCCGGAGTTTCAGTGCATAGCTAGGACCAAGAAGAGTAATTATAAATAAGTGATAGGTTGTCGGCTGACGTGAAAATAGAAAAATCCCCTAAACTGAGTCTTAAAAACGAAAATGCAAGTTGCTGTATAATTCAACGCTAAACTATTTTGCTTGGCATTTGTTTTGGCAACATTAATTAATTACAAATGACTTTCTATAGTAGCCAGTGAAAAATCTTGGGAACTTACCCTTGAAAAAGTGGAACTGGGCACCTTTGGTTTAAAAATCTCGCTCGCGTGATCGAAGTCACTTGAGAGAATAGAATCGAGTGTAACTGTTATGATTTAAATTCTCCCGCAAAATGTTTACTCAGAGAATTAATTTTCCAAACATTCTTGAGAGCACCGCGTTCCTGCATATGAACTTAGAACAAAACCCCTTTTTTTATTATGCCAGACTTAAACCATACCGTAATGATAGGCACGTGTCCGTCATGGCGATCGGGCGTGTGCTGTGTTGCTCCTTCATCGTCAACGCGCTATGCCTCTGTTTTTTGTTCTGTAGCAGTTTTAGTTCTCTTAACACAAAGCTAACATGGTCCTGCATCAACAGGTACCGTTTTGTGGGGGTTACCAATGCCGAGGAGGCTCTTTTCTATTAAAGTCCGCGACAACATAATATTCGACATCTCGCATGTACCCGTTACCGAAATTCTAACTCAACTTTCAGGTTACAACGTCTCCTGTCCTGGGAGTGAGTCCCCACTCCCTTCCCGTTTACTCGCGCCATTTTCGCGCGGTCTTTGACTCTCGTTCTTTGCTCCTAAACCGCACGGCGGAAACGCTCGCTACGCAGGCTAATCAGGCGCCGAGTTCGCTGGCAAACGCAGGTTTTCAAAATCCAGGGGTTTGTCTTGCAAGCGTTTCCTCCCTTTCCCTCCCCCTCCCCCCTCTTTCATTTTTTTGGCTCTCGTTTCATTTCTCGCGGGGTCAAAACCGAAAATCCCCTTCCCCGGTCTTTCAGTTCTTTGCTCCAAAACCAAACGGAAACGCTTGCTACGCAGGCTAGTAGTCCTGTTTTTCCGGACGGAATATTCCAAACAGAAATCCGTGTTCCATTACTTCAAAGCCATCTTTCGTTTTCCGGACTGATTCGTACATGGTAAACGCGATTCCCGGGCGAAATTTACCAGTCCTGAATTTTGCGTACCATTTGCCTAAACCGTGGACCAACCAGTTTGCCCGTGTAAATGGTAGACAACCGTTACATTTTTTATCACGTAATTAAGACGCTGACAGGGACCGAGACTTAATTCTGAATACATACATGTAGTGTTAGTTAATTTAGATCGCTGGTGCACTTTATAGGGCAGATCGTTTCCTGTTCCATGACCCAAAAGTTCCCTGCTCAATGATTCTCACCAAGAGTCATAATGGCTCTTGTTCTCACGGAGATTTTAAAGGAGGCGAATCGATCGAAGGTGGATAAGCGAGGACATCGTTCATCAAGCCACTGAATTTGAAGGAACGAACAGTTTGTGTGTCATTTAAAGGCAGCCGAAATACTGCCGAAGTTAAAAATTAAAACATCATCTTTGGTGTCTAGTAAGAAAAGGGAGGAATGTACAACTTTCTTAAAGCAGATGGGCTCAACCGCAGGATAAGAGCAGAAACTCCGCTCAAAAAAATATAATTCTTTATTGATCATAAAACTAACAGCAGATCACGTGTAACTCGGATTAAATGATAATGGCTTGTTTACTTGCTTAGTACTTCACTGTCAAGGGTTTAATTTGGGCCAAGTCACTAGAATTTTACTGATCGTGACGGAAGGAAATCATCGACGTATTACCCTTAATTCAAAGGCTTGCGGCACAATGATTGCGCCTACAACCACGGCTAGATATTTCCAGAACGCAGCTTTATAAGCGGCTCCAATAAAGAATTTTTTTCCTTAGTTCTTTTCATATATGTGATAGTATTCTAGCAAGTATTAATTACAGTGGATGAAAAACGCCATAAAAAAAGGTTTTCGTTGAATTGAAAGCTACGCTATCCCTGATCTGGGTAATGGTGAGAGCGTATCGTACGAACATTTTTATTGCCTGACGGGTTTCAAACTGCAGAACTTGATCTTCCAACGCCGGTCACTGCAATAAACGGAACGTGGTAAGAATAAAAACTTTAACTGACTTACTGAAATGCCATTACCAGGGAATTAAACGCAAAGGACGACGGGACTGCGAAGGTACTCTTTTCATCCGTTTTTGCGGTATCAGTGTCGAGCAGCATGCAGATCGAAACTGTTTATTATTGGACTGTTTATATCGTGTAAGCATTTAGCACGTGCTTTATTGTGGTATGATTTTTGTCCCTTTGTTAGCTTATTTTCTTTAAAAGAGGCAAGAATCTTCCATTTGAAAAAATCAGGCTTATTTCAAAATATTAGGCTGGTGATTTTACTGCATTCTATTTTCCATCAAGTATATCAGACTGAATTTATGTAAACATGGCTTCAGTGAGTGTCTACAGGTCCTCAGCTAGGTATGTCCTTGGTACCAAGAATTCACAAGCTATTCACACTTCAATGCGAACTGCCAAAGGTATATTATTTCCCCTCTAATAGTCCTGTCAATCTAACGACCGTCTTCTTTAACAGCTGCTATCATTGAGTGCGGCAGTGGGGGAAACGAGAGAATTTTTGCTCGTGTTCTTTGTTCCTTTGTTCTCTCGTACTGAGTGGTCAACTCATTCAGTGTACAAACCAGTCTGCCCATGGCAAATATTCCACTGGAAATGGGAACTTTTGTTTTCTTTGCTTCCTGTAGCTATAACACTTACTTAAAAAAGGAGCTGTAATAGCTTCTGACTCCTCTCATGTAAAATCCTTTCTTTGTCATTTCAAAAATGATATTCTTCCCATATGAGTTCACGTACTTGCTCCACTTACATCTGCTCTTGATTTTTTTTTGGCTGTCACAACACTCAAAGCAGAACAAGCGGCCGTTTGCGAAAATGCTATGAATACCTGCGGGATGAAGAGGCATATGCAGTCACATCATCCATTGGTCATCATTATTTCTGGAAAATCTCATAAAAAGAGACAAACAGGCAGACAGACAGAAAGAGAGACAGACAGACGACAGATAGACAGAGGGATAGATAGACGGACGGACGGACGGACGGATGGACGGACGGATGGACTGACAGCCAGCCAGCCAGGCGGACGGACAGACAGATAGACAGACAGGCATAGACCTACAAACAAACAGAACCCCAAAGAGAAAGACAGATAGATAGACAAACAGACAGACAAACAGGCTGACATACATAAAGAAAGAGTGACAAACAGACAGGTGCAGACAGACAGACTGCTTCTTTTTAAGCACTTTTAAATAT